CCGACTTCTGAACCCTTCCAAAAAGTGAAACTTTTAGTCTCCTTATCATAGTTCATATAGAAACCCAAAAAGTTAAAGTCCTAAGAGCCAAGCAGAAGAACACCAAGAAAACGTCCATGCCTGAAGACCATTCCGTGGGCCTAGGGCCTTTTCGGGTGGTTTGGGTTGTATGTTCAAGAACTCTGGTGCGAAAAGCGGCTCATACTCAAGGAATACAAAAAAAACAAATTTGATGGGCATCATGGAATTGAAATCTCGGTGGCTCGGGACTGCAGAACAATTGAGTTCAAGTAGGCTGGTGCCATATGGAGGAAAGGCGTCACCCAACCCGACGCTCCAACCGCCGCCAAGGAGCTCGTACAGAACCCGATCCTGTCGTCTTGGATGTGATTGCAGGTGTGTGGCTCTTGGGGTCACGACTAGGAGCAAACACGTTAAGGACGCAACAATGTGGAGGTTTTTGTACCACCAGTGCCGTAAAGAAAACCCAATATACAGTCACTCACCAGTATCCCGAAGGAACCCGATGCACACTCATGGGAGGATGCTAGTACAAACCCCAGGACACGACAAAATCCATGAACAAAATGAAGTCTTACACCGCTGAGGAAAAGCCTACTCGTTGCCTTTCGCAAACCCTGTTGAAGCAGGCCCCTGCACTGGTGCCTGGAGGTGAGGTGCCGTTCGAAACCCCCTTAAGCCTGAACCCTAATCCCAATCACTTAAGCCTATACTCTGAAGCCTAGTCCCTTAAACCCCAAATGAATGGTTAAGCCTGTACTTTAAGCCCTAATCCCCAAACCCCATCAGACTACTTAAGCCTGAACTCTAAACCTTTGTGCTGCAGCCTCAGATACGAGAAAAATAGTAAAGTAGGGGCCTAAATAATTTACCAATACTAGTTTTTTTTTGGGGGGGGTCCATAGAATAGTTATAGAAAAATATATCCCCAAAACCCTAGTCTAATTATTAAGGCCCCTATAGCAACGATTAAAAATAATCCCGAAAACTGCCGCCTTGCTGGAATTCAGACCCAGGGCTCGCGCGAGAGGGTGTGCCGGAATGGCATCTCCTGTTCAGGGTCTCGGGTTTAGGGTCTAGGGTCCAGGGTTTAGGGTCTAGGGTCTAGCGTTAGGGTTTAAGGTTTAGGGTTTAGGGTCCAGGGTTTGGGGTCTAGGGTCTAGCGTTAGGTTTTAAGGTTTAGGGTTTAGGGTTTAGGGTCTAGGGTTTAGGGTCTTGGGTTTAGGGTCTTGGGTTCAGGTTTAGGGTAAACGGCCAGAGGCTTGAGATGAATGAAAAAAGGGCCCTCAAGAATTAGAGTCAGGCTTTGTGTGCATATTGTAGTCATTGTAGTATAGTGGTCGTAAGGAAGCCTCAGGAAGAGTATAAATAGTTATGTCGGAACTAAGTCATAGTACCTTCACGTCCACTGCCATTGCCCCTGCCACTCCCTGTGCCACTACCACCCCCACTCCTTCTCCTGCTCCTGCTCCTCCTGCTACTGAGCTGCTACTGCTACTGCTACTGCTACTGGCAATGCAACTGCTACCGCTGTGGCTGCCACTCCTACTACGATGTCGGCATGTGGACTCTGATTTATCTGGAACCCTGGAAGCACATGATGCAAACTCAGCCACAAGTCAAGAACGCTGCACGAAATGGTGCACTGCATACAGTTTCGAGTCGTTTGGCTTGGCAAACGACAGCGGGCCCCCTCGGAGAACGCCCTCCCGTCCTGAGGAAGCAGAGTTCATGCTGTGCCTGGCGGAGTAATGTAGGGGCCTTAACAATTAGAATAGGGTTTTGAGGACCATTATAGTAGAATTACAAAAAAGAAACACCCCAAAATAATATAGGTACTTATTTCGCCCCTAAACCCCAAACCCTAAACCCTAAGCCCCTGTACTACTTCAATGGGCACTGCTAAGCCTTCGTGGCCCTGATCTGAAAGTCCGGATGTTGGAAATGAAGGGTTCGGAGCTGGGCCCCGGAAGCAAACCTAAAAAAGCTGGTGCTTTTATAGTAGAATGTACCCCCAAAAATAGTTAGAATAGGGTTTTGGGGGAGTTGAATATTATAGTTGTAGTCTAATGTTTGCATATGAAGGGGTGTAGTATTTGCATGTGAAGTGCTGACGTCTCTCACATTGCTACGTCAGGCCGGCGTAGCAAGGCCCCCTTAAGAGATTGTGGCCAAGAATGGGCTAGGAGAACCGAGAAGACCAAAACTGACAGCACTACATCCGGGAAACGACTGCATGCTGCGAACCGACCACTCGAGCTTCTTCGACTTAATTCGAGGTTCCTGTCGTCTTACAGCCGGCATCGCACGTCAGCTCTTGACGATCACAGCTCGAACAATCATGCCGCAATCAAAGGCAACAACAGAGACAGCCGGTCCGCTTTCCACCAGTATCTCTCCAGAAACTCGTCAGAACGACTCCAAGCATCGAAGAAAAGACGGCATGTCTGCAAGGTCGAGCATGAGTGTTCAGACAACAAAAACAACAGTTCCCGAAATGGACCTTCAATTAACAGGATCCTTATAACTTGGAGGACTTAGGCAACAACGGCTGTAATGTAAAGGGGCTTTGGGCTCCTTTATAGTATAATTAGAATAAGGAACCCTCAGGAATAGTATGAGTAGTTATTTAGGCGTCTATATTAGGCCAAAGTGAGGCTCAGCCAAGAGGCTCGTTCGTCTCCCTCAGATCATGCTCGGGCTCGTCGGATGAGGTTCGTGGCTTCGTGGCCCGTGGGAACCAAGGGTTTTAGGGACGCCGGTATGGGGTTTCGACTCAGAGCTTCCCAAAAATTGTGTGA